CGCCCCACGGGAACAGCACAGTATTGTCATTCTCGTGTTGGAATAGATAACGTTCACCCCTAAATGCTCCTACACCTCAGTCCGCTGTCTGGTTGTCCTGAAAATAAGCGGAATTAATAAGCATGGATAAATTCTAACTCATAGGATCAATCACGGAATGGTCTGGGTTAGAAGGACAAGCAATACTGGACAAGAAATATGGGGATAACATACATGTCAATAAATGGCCATCTAAAACAGCCAAACAAATAAGTGCCAAAAGACAGATGTTGAATAAAAGCCCTAGGAAAAGAACTGGATAAAAGTCAGCGTTTTGAGGATTAGAGGGCACATCTCACAGATATGGAATTGAAAGAATCACATTGTGCTCAAAGTCCTCCCTGCTTCATTTTATAACCTTAATTTAAATGTACACACTGTGCTCCATCGAGCCCAGAGACACCACACTCCCTGCTCCCTCAGAGGGGCATAAGAATAAACATTTATCACGTACATATTTCTTTTACAAGGTGCCCTGCTCTTGTTTCTCCTTTATTCCTCCTCCTCAGAGCCTTCTCTGTTATCTCCACGTTCATCCCGAGATGTTACTGCTCTGAAACACAGAAATCCTCAGCATCTACAGTGCCTAGAGAAGGGAGGAATTTCTTCTCAATACTTTGTTTAAATCCCTCTTTCAGTTTCAAGCCATTCCCGCTTGTCCTGTTGGGCAAGAAACAGATTCCTCACCCTGAGAAAAACTGATATATCAAATATTGTATCTTCATAATATATAAAATTATATACCTATACAATCTTTTGTCTTCATATTAAGATGTCACTTAAGCCTTTCAAGCCACGAGGCATGTGGTCATTAAACCAACAAACAGGAAGTTCTGGGAATAAACAACGTGGTTTTGGATCTGGGGTCAGCAATGACTGCACCCTTTTTCACAGCCATAAAACAACATCTATCAAATTCAAATTAACAGTCCAGTGTCAGCCAGAAAAATTCCTTCTGAAGGCCATTCTCTCCTCGATTTTGTGTGCAGTGGTTGATATTCCTTAGTATGGACTAAACACTGCTCTTAAGAGCAACAAAATTATAGACAAGCCCTGAAACACTGAACTCCTCTAAACACCTGGGGAACATTAAAGCGGAAATTATTTTTTCCATTGTCACTGTAAATGTTGCAGAAGTGGATTTTTGTGCCTGGCAGTTTTGATGGCATCAGTGCAAGGCTGATTTGAAGTTCCTCAGTCAGGTCATACCTGCCCCATTTAAACCCAAGTGGTTTTAATAAGAACATAAAAATCCCTCATTCTGCTGATTCACCCTTTATGGCACCTCTGGTATTGAAGTGCTGATGCTTCTTTGTGAGCCAAAGTGGGTCCCATTTCCTGCAAACTGGTTTCTATTCACCCTTGCACCACAAACTGGATTTGCTCTTGAAATCTCCCACTGGATTTGTCTGAACAGCAATTCTGATCCAATTATTGCAGATCCCAATGTGAATCAAAATGTGAGATTTTTGAGAGTGCCATGTCAAAGGACCTTCAGAAAAGTATCTTTAATTCACAGTATCTTTAATTAAGTTTTTGTTATAAACAAGAATAAGTTATGGAAATAAACATTCATACACAGAGCTGGAAGGTGTCCCTGCCCATGGCAGGGGGTGTTCACCAATAAATAAATTTCCAAGACCTCTTTCTCTGTAAAAGATGCAAAAATGGACTTGTGCACATGCACATTCCGAGCCAAGACATCCAGAACCCTCCCTTCACAGCCAGTGAATTTACCCTTGAAGAGGTGAATGTAAAAAATATGCAGAGAACCTGCCAAAAATTCATGAGTTGTAAGTATTGAAATAAGAGAGCAAAGGTCAAACAGGGCACGGCAAGACTCCATTTTAATGTGTTTTTCTTATGCCTCTGTTTCCCCTTTGAAGTGATAAGAGCCTGTAAAAGTGATTACTGTGCTAAAGTGAAGCATTAATTTGGATTTCAGCAGAAGGAAAATGGCCTGCAAGAGAAGAACTGATTTGTTGCTGCTGTGGTTTAACCCAGCCAGCAGCTGCTCAGGGGTGGGGAGGGCACAAAAGGTGCTGTGCAAGCCCTGCCCAGCAATAAAACCACCCTGGAATGGTCAGCACTGCCTCCAGCCCGAACCCAACACGCAGCCCCAGACTAACGATGAGAAAAATTAACTCTACCACAACCCAAAGTGGCACATTTCATTTAATAATATTTAAAAGTATCTCAATTATTTATAATGCAAATGGTCATCACACAACCAAATTTCCTTCAAGTAGTGCAACAGCGTGGATTTGACATTTCCAGCGAACCTGAGATTTCTCTAGTGCTATATTTCATTAATAAAGTGCATTCCAAAACCTTGGCAAGAGGAATTAGCATGAATTATTTCGGTGCAAGTTTTAACCACCTCAAGAGAGCAGACTTCCACCCGAACCTTTCGCCCTCTTCCCCCCCGTTTTCCTTCGTGCCTGGATCAGAAACCTTCTCCACGACGGCCTCGTAAGTCTTTCGCGCTCGCAGGATCTCCTTGTCGGTGCTGAAATGCACCATCTGCCTGCTCAGGATGGGCACCACCAGGTTGAAGTTGTCCACCCTCTTGTTCAACTTCCTGATGTCTTCCGCGAACTGCTCGCAAACGCGGCCCCACTGCTTCTGCTCCGACAGCGTCATGGGCTCCCCCAGCTTCCTCCGGGAGGCCACGATGCTCTTCCTCAGGCGCCCGATGGTCTCGCGGATCTCCTTCTGCAGCAGGATCCACTCGGGCTGGTAGCCGTTGTCGATGAGGATCCTGTTCAGGTTGTGGGTCATGGGGTCGATGTGGGGGCTGTGCGAGAACTTCTGCAAGGGCTTCCCTTTGCCGCTCAGGTTGTCGAAGTCTCCTTTGGCCATGGACTCCTGGATGAGGTCCTCCACCAGCCGCTCCACGGCCTGGGTGATCTTCACCTTCTTGCTCTGCCGCACGTCCTGGGCCCTGCTGAGGTCGCTGCCGGCGTAGCGGCTCTCCAGGCGCTGCTGCCGGTACTCCAGCACCTGCTCGGTGGCGCGGTCCACGCGGAACTGCATGTACTGCTTCTCCCGCTGGCTCGGCGTGCCGATGCCCACGCCCTCGAAGCTCAGGTAGTGCCTGTGCTGCAGGGACTTGGACTTGAACTGGTCTTCCTCCTCCTCGCCGGAGTCTGATTTCTGTTTGGCTGCCAGGTCGCCGAGCACCACCCTGTAGGCCTCCTCCACCCGTATGAAGGCCCTGGAGTCGGCCATGCCGGAGCTGCTGTCAGGGTGGTATTTTTTGGCAAGATTGTGGTACGAGTTCCTGACGTCGTCGAGGGAACAGCCTTCCTCCAGCTCCAGAACCTTGTAAGAGTCCTTGACGTCGTTTTCGGGCTTGTAACCCGACAACATCCTGCACAGAAATGGCTTCAGCTTCCTTGGGATCATGGCTCCCCGTCCCACCAAACAGTGCCCCATGTTGTTACTCAGCATGACACAAAGCCACTGGGGATTTCTTCACGTGCAGCTACATTATAAAGAACCTACAGACACATTTGAACAAAAATCATGTTAAATATCCTTTTTTTTAAAGAACTTCCGGGGCATAAGTCTTATCTTTAGCCTGATATATTAAAGAAATCCCTACTGAAATTTAGCAGTATTTTTTTCTTTTACAGACTATTATTGAAATCACAGAATCCTAGAATGGTTTGGGTTGGAAAAAGCCCATCCAGTGCCACCCCTGCCATGGCAGGGACACCTCCCACTGTCCCCAGTGCCCAGCCTGGCCTTGGGCACTGCCAGGGATGCAGGGGCAGCCCCAGCTGCTCTGAGCACCCTGTGCCAGGGAACAATTCCTCACTCCCAATATCCCATCCAGCCCTGCCCTTCCTAAGCTTAAAGTCATTAATTTACTTAATTTCTAATTAATTTGTATTGAAGTAGTAGTGTTACAATGTAACTGAAAATTAATTCTCAATTTACTTTTTTCCTGGTATGACAACAGGAACACAGGTTTGTTCTGCACTGCAGAATTCCCTGGAAGCATTTTTATCACCTTTATTCTTCTACTGTTTATTTTATTGCCTTTCAGCAAACATTGTAAACTGGAAATAAGCTTGATGCTGAGCAATAAATGCTGAAACAAAACCCTCCCTTCTCCTCTGTACCTACATTCAGCAATAATAGCTCAATTTCCTATTCCCTTTGATCAAGAGCTATGACCTGGTACGCTGGCAGAGGAGGTCATCACAGCACAGCAACATCTGGATCAGCACTCAGGTTACAGATTCACTAGGTCAGCCTTTGTATCCCTGCAGTTGCCAACTTCCTTCGCTGGTGCCAGGCAGGGGCATAAACCTGGAATTCAGAACAGATCGATAGCAGTGAGTGTGTCACTGTGTCAGCAATTCCAGTGATTCTGGGTTATCTGGGGACACAGCCAGGACAGCACCTCAGCAGGTGACAAAGTCAGTCCTTAGGTAAAATCAAAGTAGAAATATATAACACTAACTGGACACACCAGTTACACATCAGCCAGCTCTTCTTTATTCATGGAAATCCTTATGGAAATGCTGGATCAGTGGAGCTAAAGACACAGAGAGGGCAACATCTCCTTTGCTCACTCCATCTCCAAACAAAAAACTAGGTCAAATCAACTCCTCAAGGTTAATTAAAGAATAAGCAGCATTTATGTCTTCTGCACAAACCAAACTGCCCTTCTGCCCTAACCCAGAGAAGGAAAAGGACAAGGACTTGGGACTGGATCAATCCTCGATATTTTCAGCTGGCTTTGATCCACGTAAGGCATTAAGTCATCAGCTTGTGATAACGGAGCTCATTAACACCTTTTATTTATGACCCAGTGATTTCATTCCATCTGGGTGACAAAGATAGCTACTAATTTTCCTACCGCCATAAAACCCCATGTAACTACTATTTAAAGAGAATGATCAGTAAACACACTTTTAAAGTTCAATTATTGCTCCGAAAGTGACTTTCGCATAACCCGGCAGCCCCGATTTTAACAAACCTGTTGTTAAGATCCATATACAGAACCCTCACCCCGCGAGGGGGCCGGCTGGGCAAGGATGATTATTCCCTGGCAGCGTGAACGCAGCGATGCCGCTGGGATTTGGGAAGGGGGGATGCATTGGGCCCCCCAGG